GGCTTTTGGGGCTCACCCGAAGGCGAGAAGAATCATGTTCGTCACCGTGTCACTAGACTGGTTCTAGTGACGTTGTTGTTGACACAGCGCATGGTCACATAATTTGTACCCACTGCAAAATACAATGGTGGGCCTTGGGTACGGCCCCCCACTCAGTAATAGTTGAATGATAATCTCAACATAGATATATTAGGACCTTTATAGTAGCCCTAATTATTATAGACTCTTACTGTAAGGGCAGTACCTAAGGTGGGCCCTGTGACGAGATTACACCCCAGGACTGGCAGCTAGTCTTCTTGGGTGGCGTGGATGCCATGGGTCTCCAGCCTTTGCTGCAGATCTCTCCGGGCGTGAGGAGAGCTTGATTTTGTTCAAACCGCTATTCGTGTATGGACTCATGGAGGCAGTCTCCATATAGGTACTGCAGGGACAAAGTACATAATTACTATATTTCTCCATGTCGGTGCATGGACGGTAAGGGAACTACAAACGGTTTGTAGGCAAGGTGTTCTGCTGCTCGGAGTTGTCGAATCCCTGCTTGAAGAATTGGGCATGCTGAGCAGGATAAAATAAGGATCTTCAGTAGATTAAGGTCATGTAGATCTTCATGATTGGCGGGATGGGTGGAGTCTGTGTGAGGAACTAGAAGAAAAAGTGGCTGCTTTCGGTTGTTGGCTGCCGTAGGGGCTTGTCATGTGCAGGTTCCAGCCTCAATAAAATCCGAGCTTCATGCCCCTCCTTGCCAGACAAGGTCGAGGGATTTGCGGCTTTATGTGATACACGCCTCGGAAGCGGCTGTTCTCGGAAATTCTGGATTCCTTACAGAAGGGCCTTTTGTGGAAATTCCATTAGGCCGATGTATATTGCGATAGTGGAACGAGGTCCCCAAAACCATGCTAAGGAGAGACCTAGTTCCACAACTGTAGTATAATAAAGACCCTCTAGCTTTTTCTGGGTTTAGACTACGAGACGCAGGAGAGTTTACAATGGTTCGCGCGAAACGACGGCCTACGTGATCAACGTTGAAGGCCAGAACTCCACACAGCTTTGTGTACAGTAGGGTTACATGGGGTTTTGGGGATTTGGGCTTGAGGCTTTGGGGGGTTGTATGCAGTGTGTGAGGTGTTTGGCCTGATGTTTGTCAATAGTCTTCTCCGACCAAACAAGTCCTTGAGGTTCGGAGGCTCGTGTGTCTTACAACGAAGGTGGGGTATGGTGCTTTGCTTGAGGTATCTCTGCCATGCCCAAGCTGGGTTAGCTTTTGTTTTTGTACCTGCACTGCTAGTCTGATGCTTGACATGTCACTGCTGTGGCTTTGTGAGAGAGCCCTCTGCCTTGAGGCTGACCACCCACCGCATGAAGACAGAGAGCCCATGACTTTGCTCCCCAGTAGTCCTGGTACTAGAAAAACAGAATGCGGGGGAGGAGGCTGGGCACAAGCTCAGGATCTGTTTTTGTTCGTTGGATGTTTGTGTCGCATTTTCTTACAATGAGCCATAGACGGACACCTAAAGCTTTCATCCATCTCACTATTCAACCATCCAACCATCCAACCATCCAACCACCCATCCATGAATCCGCCCATCTGTCCATCTATCCTTGGATGCATACATGCGTTATACAGGCATGTCCATACACACTCGTTTATACATACATACATACATACATACATACATACATACTTACATACATACATACAGACATACATACATGCATACATGCATACATGCATACATGCATACATACAAACATGCGTACATACATGCATGCATTCATACATACATACGTACATACATGCATGTATGCATGCATACATTCAGGTCTACGGACGTAAACGCACGCATGCATACACACATGCACACGCACGCAGACGCACGCAGACGCACATCTATATATATATATATATATATATGTATATATATATATGTCATGCATATACATATATACATATACATATATACATATACATATGTATATATATATATATATATATATATGGCGAGATAGAGAGAGAGAGAGAGAGAGAGAGAGAGAGAGAGAGAGAGAGAGAGAGAGAGAGAGAGAGAGAGAGAGAGAGAGAGAGAGAGAGAGAGAGAGAGAGAGAGAGAGAGAGAGAGAGAGAGAGAGAGAGAGAGAGAGTGTGTGTGTGTGGTGTGTGTGCGTGTGTGTGTGTGTGTGTTGAACAGAAGGCTTACATACTTACTTGTGTACTTACACGCCTGGATATGCACAGATGTACTTCCGTGCATCTCATTCCATTGCTTCAAAGCCCCTAAACCCTAAACCCTGAACCTCCAGCCCTGAACCCTACGCCCAGTTGTCTTTCAAAGAAAGGAATGCGGAAGCTAAGCGAAATCCACCCACTACACCAGGTGTCCGGGAAGCTCTGAGAGTGTGCTTCCCGCTGTGCTGGCAGCTGGACACCATGCTGACTCTGCGCAGTCGGCCGCAGAAAGCAGTGGAGAAACAGTTCAGGGTTTAATCTGGGCTCTGGAATATGAACTTTTGTTGTTTGTGTTGGACCTGCTCCTGAAAGGAACCATGAAGACATGTGATCTCATTTTCCTGAGTTCTCAGACATGAGCAGCATGAACAATAAGTAATTTTGACGCCGACTCAGCTATTGTCTGCAGACACTGAAACACTTATGATAGCAAGACCAGGAAAACATGCAAATTAGGGACAGAAGCATAAGAGTCGAAGTTGGAACACCAACGCCTGGATACGTGCATGCATACTACATACATGCAGAATATTTACATACGTAGACGTCGACAGGCAAACAGACCGACATCCAGGCAGACATACATATGCATTCATGCTTGAGGGCGTGGACGCGTGACTAGTGCCCGCACCATGTGGAGTCAATGATGACAAGTTGGGTACGGCCCGCATACAGTAACAGTCTAGTAGGGCTACTATTGAGGGCCATTATCCAACTGTTACTGAGTGAGAGCCGTACCCAAATGACCAGAATGCTGGCAACACTTGCTGTCACAATGGCAAGTACCTTGGAACACGGATCGTGTTGTTTTCCTTCTCATGGATATTGCATGACCTCGCCCATCAAGAGCATAGGTAGCCAAAACGATGTATGCTTCGAGCTCTAAACCCTAAACCCTCCAAGGATTCCCCTGCAACCTCAAGGAAGGCCCTAAACCCAGCTCTCAACGAAAACCTTAAACCCAAACCCTTCAGGAACTCGCGATTGTGCGATCCGCCACTCTGGGTCAGCGAGGACATGATGCCGCTTGGCTTCGCCACGCTGAGCGCGTCTAATGTAACACCTGACAAGAGGCTACTACTGTGGATGATGTATATCCTGCACTACCTTCAGGACCCTAAACTATGCGACTTACTTGGAATCGCTGGCGGTCTGTTTAATCGAGGGTGTTTGTCCTTGCGTTTTCTGGCAAGAATTGTGACATTAGTCTCTAGACCTATTCGGTCCTTCGAAATTGAAGCCCAGGTCGGCACTTTAACATCGTTCCGACGCTTCGGAACGGTCCCGGACGGTTTGGGGCTGTTTGCGAACAGGGTCCTAACAGTTCCTGAGACTTGCCTGATGGTTGCAGAGCCCCTGTTGGCGTTCACACACAAACAACCTGCCGAGCATTTCCAGAAGTTATTGTATATTCCTTATTATGGTAATGCAGGATCTATATCATCAACCGCAGGGTGTCGGGTTTAGGAGTACCTGCAGTTTCCATTCTCATTGTGCTATACTACAAAACTGGTTAGTTAACTACAACGGAGTAACTCATAAACTCTGAACCCTTAAGCCCGTAAGAGATTGCGATTGCAGAACCGGGTGATGCACTGAAGATAACAAGAACCCATGATCCCCAAACTGTAGCTCAGCCCCATGCAAGCCCTAAACTCTAAACCCTGAACCCAAAACCTTGACCGTCCTTGCCCCACAGCTTGAGGCTCTCCTACACGGTTAGGCCCATGAGCTACATCCTCTGGCCGCCCCTGGCGGTGCAGAACAAAAGAGACTTCCGCAGCCTGATCTCAATGAGGAGTTTAGGATTCAGGGCGTTTTCTGGGCTCAGCGCTTCGAAGTTTAGGATCCAGGCTGCAGGGATTTAGGATTCAGGGCTCAGTGATTCAAGGTTTAAAGTTCATTGGGGGCAAATTCACGTATTCTCGGTTTTCGGCCGATTGTTGCAGAAAAAAACATGTCGATTTCGAAGCAATGGTTGGAGCAATACAGTTTCCTAAACGCGAGTACACAAGGAGGACGCACTTGTCAAGCAGACTGTAAACTAGGACTGCGGTATGCAGAGTTCCGATAGACCCCTGCCCACTTCGCCGATACCGAACCTCGAAGGAACACCACTAAGCCGGAACAATCCGTAGAAGCTCTCAATGCCCGGCCGTGCGATTGCTGCGAGCAGGTCATAAAGCAGCGAAGAGCTCCTGTGTCGACATGACCAAGAGTTGTTGAGACCTCTTCGCACCTGACCCCGCAACACCCCGACGCTTTCAAGGATCTACAACACACAACAGCTGCACATCGCTCAATGTGTAGTCGAAAGTAACCTTAGGAATTTTTTCTGTTCGTATAAAGCCGAAAGAATGTTAAACATGTATTTTATTATGTGTCTAACGGGGGGTATAGTTGTACCTTTTGCGTGTGTGGGGGGGGAGTCTAGCTTGCTGTGGTGTGAAGGCTTTAGGGTGCAGACCCTATGTAAAGCCGAAACCCTATAAACCTTAAACCCCTTATTCCAACTGCCGCGAAGGAACTGACGTTCAGAAGGATGAGCATCCGGAGTTTCTTCGATCCAACAGTCGTTTCCTCAGTGAGGGGTTTAGGATCCCAGTTCGCGGCTTTAGGGTTCAGAGTTTGGGGTTTAGGGTTTTGTGGCTGTAGGTAGGCTTTAGGGTTCAGGGTTTGGGGTTCAGGGTCGCTGGAGGGTGTTATATTTGACCTAAACCCCTAAACCCTAAACCCTAAACCCCTCTGCTTGGACCCCCTGTTCGGGGCCCTTAAACGTAAAGAACCCATGTACCCTAAGCCTAGGTCGGATAATGATGTATGCTACCTACGGTCTCCATTGTATTTCCTTTTTTGGTTAACCCAAATCTCTATTATAGGATCCTGACCATAAAACTGGATAACCAAAGAAAGGAACTACAATGGAGACGATAGGTAGTAATAAATTCTAAAGACCCAGCCTACCGCCCCGAAAACCTTCAAATGCCTAGACCATACGGACCTTTCTTCCGCCCTAGGCTAATCCCTTCAAAGCACCAGGCCCTAATCACGCTAAACTCTCTGAATCCTAAAGCCCTGAATCCTAACAACTTACGTAAGTAATAAACTCTGACTCAAGGTTCTTCCTGAACCCTAAACCCTAGACCTTTCCAGGCTACAACGTCGCGCCTACGATTATCGACGCCCCGTTGCCCGCGACCTCTGCAGCTTCCCGGCCTAATGAAAGCAAATAAGCTAGCAATATAGGGTTTTGGGTTTGGTGTTTAGGGCTGATACAGGAGCCTCAACAAGTAAGTCCATATTAACGAAACAATTACCAATACGATTGTGGGGGTTCCTATAGTATCATGTACCCCAACCCTGTTCTAGGTATTAAGGGCCTGTATTAAAGGAAGCTACTTGTATAAAGGATTCTTCAAAACTCTTTAAAGGTTCCTCGAAGGGGTCAAATTAAGGCTTCTAGACGGGTTCGTTTGAAGGTTCTAGAAGGCTACAATAAGGTTGCTTGTTGGCTCTATAAGTTGTCTAGAAAGGTTCGTTAAGAGTGCATGAAGGCTTCCTTCAATGGGATTCTGGACACCCCCGAACGCACTAAGACCCAAGACAGCCTGTCTCTTCCCCTGCCGAGTTGCTCGCCTTTGACGAGTTTGATGCAGAGGTCTTGGAAAGGACGGTCTTATCATGGCAGGGTTGGGTAATTTGCGTCTGGGATGAATGGGTTCGGGTTTGGGAAGGTTGGAGGTCTGGGGGTGCAGCAATTGCCCGCAGGTGTTGACCTTACGACGAGTTTATGCAGAGGTCTTGGAAAGGACGGTCTTATCATGGCAGAGTTGGGTAATTTGCGTCTGGCATGAATGGGTTCGGGTTTGGGAAGGTTGGAGGTCTGGGGGTGCAGCAATTGCCCGCAGGTGTTGACCTTACGACGAGTTTATGCAGAGGTCTTGGAAAGGACGGTCTTATCATGGCAGAGTTGGGTAATTTGCGTCTGGCATGAATGGGTTCGGGTTTGGGAAGGTTGGAGGTCTGGGGGTGCAGCAATTGCCCGCAGGTGTTGACCTTACGGTGGTGGGAGATTCATGCGGAATGTTCTGGTACAACCTATTCGCAATAAATCCGAATCTTAAATCTTCACGTCCCTCACCCCTAAAACATCCTAGAACACCTAAACAGCCTAGTGACCTCAAGCCCGTACCTGGACCCCCAAAATTTGCAGAACAATGCTGGGCCGCTTGAAGCAAGCCCTTCTTGAATCTCCAATTCCACTCCGGGGCCTCCAAAGAAGTCCAGGACCTACGCTCTTGTGGGTAGTTGGGATGAGCCGCGGCGAGTGCTTAAAGTTGGGCTGTGGGGTACTGGGTTCAGTCAGGTGCTCGGATTCTTAGATTTTAGTGTTCGGTGTACCTTAACCTACCAAGCCCTACTTTTTGTAGGCTTTGGTAGCTTAAGGTATAGTATACTAATCATGTACCTTTGTGTTTTGGGTGTGTCAGGGTTTCGATTCAATCGACCCGCACAATACAAAAGTTCACGTGTTCGATGCTTCGATGCTGCATATGTTGACACCTGCTTTGGCTCCTCAGAATCATTTGACTGTGTTGTTGTATGCGCACATGGCAATTATTTGACGTGTATGTATGATTCAGTATGCCTTCATAGCTTTGTTTGTGCAGGCTGCTGTTGTGTCTACATGGATGCATGTTTCTAGCCCTGCTAGCTGCTTCTACTGGTCTTCGCATGTAGAGGATTTCAAGCTTCGTTATCTTGGCATGAAGCTTTTGCAAGCAACCCTACGCTTTCATGTACGTCCTACCTACACCCCAAGACTTAGTTTCTGAAGCCTTTGGCCGAAATCCTGAACCCACATATAGAATCAATCCTAAATAGTATATAGGATCCTTACAAACACGAGGGACCTGCGAGTAGGTCACCACAGCAAATCAGGATTGGGCAGCTTTCCATCCCTTGCACTTCTCTGGCATGGGTCGCGAGGCACTGGTGGCTGAGGCCTCCCTTCGGCCCTGGTGAGCGCACTCCTTCTCACTCATGCAAAGTAGCTTCACGCTACCCTGATGCTGCTGCTGAAAGACGATGGTGGTAATGATGATGTTGGTGATGACGACCATGGTGATGACAATCTGTGCACATGCAGAGTGCCCAAGAGTTAGCTTCTCTTGAGGCAAGGGACGCATGGGCCTAGGGTTCGGGATTTAGAGTGTACGGGCTGGTTTGGGGCTTCGGAAATTTGAGTGTGGGCCCCCTCTCCAATCACAGTCCGAACCATGCGTTCATACCGTTTTGAGGGGGATCCTGGAGGCAGACCCCTGGAGGATCCAAAAAGTAGATCCCTTAAGGGGGGGTTCCTATAAAGTACCCTTAGTAGTATATAGCGCCCCAAATTAGGGGATCTACTTTTCTAGACCCTCCCGGGGGGTCTGGGGAGGTAGACATCCCTCCTGGTGCTCCTGTGGAGTTCCAAGTGGTGCGCGACAACGACTGGAATCAGCGTTGCTCGGAGGGACATGAAGATGAGTTTGGGCTCTAAGGGTTTAGGGATTTATGGTTTAGGGGTTTAGGGGTTTCGGGTTTAGGGTTTAGGGGTTTAGGGTCTAACCCCTGATCTCCAATTCCCTAAACCCTAGCTGGAAAATGGCCGAAACAAATGTTACAAACCCTAAAGCCCTGAACGCCTGAGTCCTCCTCGACCCCCCAGCTACCCTCTACTATACCCTAAATTGCCAGTATTTAAGGACCATAAGGGCTCCATTAAAGGGCACTCGGGGGGGTCCTGGCTTAAACCCGAACCCCAAAAACCTAAAGCTTGCGCCCTTGGCCCGAAAGCCTTTTGGGCTTTAGGGCTGTTTAAGGCTAGGTTTAGTAGGGGGCTTAAAAAATTACCCATATTATTGTGGGGGTTCCTTAAATATGTCCATAGTACCACCAAACCCTATTCTAGTTATTAAGGTCCCTATGTTATAGAGCCCTACTATAGATCCCTTATAGACCCCTTTAAAGGACCCGGTAAAGGAACCCTCATTCTAATTATTAAGGCCCCTGGAATTGGGCTGTAGTGGTTGCGTTTTGAGAATATAGTTTAAAGGCATTGGCGGTGTAGGGTTGAATGAAGATCGAGGGTTTAGGGTTTAGGGTATAGGGGTTTAGGGTTTAGGGTTTAGGGTTGTGCCACTCTCACTGTACCCGTCAAGCATGTCCGTGATTTGAACGAAAGTAAGAACCCCTCGGAGGGATTTCAATCACTGCAAAGTGCAGGCTTCCGACGAGCTCGTCCCGACTCCTTCCCTTAACAAGCAGGGATGCTCTTCCATGGCTGTTCTGCCTAATTTCTGTTACTATGGAGGCTTGAATAATTAGAATAGGGTTTTGGGGACCACTATACTACAATTATAATGAGGAGCCCCCCCAAAACCCTAGTCTAGTTATTAAGGCCCCTATATTACTGTGCCATGCTTCTTGCTACGACATCTGGCATACTGCCCTTGAAGGATGCCGCCTAAACCCTGCACCCTGGATGCCCACGGTTCAGGGTTAATAAGGGTTATAGGGCTTAGGGTTTAGGGTTCATGGTTTAGGGTTTAGGGTTCATGGTTTAGGGTTTAGAGTTCATGGTTTGGGGTTTTGGATTTAGGGCAGGCATGCGCAATGTATAAATTTCTGAATGAAGGGGTTATGGAGGCTTGGGGGTTGCCTCGCTGCAGGCTTTTTCCCCGAGCGCGACGGCCAGATTTCTTGGGGCGGCAACCAGGATACTTACAGTACCCTTATAGATCCCCCCTCAAAGGAACCCTAGGGCACCTCTAATTTTGGGAAACTCCCATTTGGGGCTTACTGTAGGGACCTTGCATGTAAGGGTTGGGAACGGGGGTTTAAGGATAGGAGTTAGGCCACATGTCTGGAGTTGTTTCGGCTTGTCAGTGCGTTTCGTAGCAAGGGTTCCAGAAAGGGTTCTATGACGAGATCCGCAAGGGTTCTACACAGATCTACACAAGAGCTCAAGGGCTTTAGGTTAGACTTGACCTCAATCGTAAACCTCACACCCTGTTAGAAAGTATATAAATCTATCTGAAGCTCCTAAAACATACATGCGCTTGGGATACAGTACTTATTGTGAGGATGAGTTGCTTCTACCTTGCCGGAACAAACAAGTAGTGTGTTTGTTTCCTTGTAAAGGGGTGTTCAGATGAAGCCTCCAGTTCCACACTTTGGATTTCGGACAGCAGAACCATATCGGGGTTCACAGTATAAGGCTACAAGGCCCCCAACTTTTGAGAGTTATTTGGTCCATCAGGCCCTATAGGCCTTAAACCTCCTTAAATTAACCCTATAAAGGAACCCTCTTTAAAAAAACACACCCCAAATCCAAAACCAGGAGGCCCACGGCAAGAATTGGAAGCAGGAGGTTCCTTTGGGTCCTCCGAAGCTGCTTTGCTGGAGACGACCGGTTGGGTTTAGGGTTTAGGTTTTAAGCCCTAAACCGTTTAGGGTTTAGGGTAGGGTTTGGCCTGTTTCCGGTCGGGGCAAAGCGTCTGAATGCGGGCTGTTCTAGGGTTAAGCGAAGATTTAGGGGTTCGCGAGTTTAAGGTTTAGCTGGACTACAGCATCTGGAAGAAAGTTGAACGATTATCCTCTTTGGCATTGCCAACGCCAACTTTTCTTATTCCATGGTTCAACGTTATCGTGTTTTCCTGTCAAGGGCTTACTGCAAAGCTTTTAGATTGGCGGCCGCGGGTTTAAGCAGGGAGAAATCATAGGGGTACGTGATTTAGGATCCTGATTACGCGGCTTGTTTTACTGTAAGGTTCTGTATTTTCTGCAACTGAGGCATGTCGCAGGTGCAGGTTCAACGCAGATCGCCTGATCGTCTCACTGCTAACGCGCTCGAAGCTACGGAATTTCATAATGAGCATTGAGACAAACCAAGGCATATTTGAAGCCGTGCTCCGAAGCAAGAACGTCCAAATCTTGCGTAGTTTGTATCCGAACCGTTTGCTTAGCACTCTGAGCTTGAGACTTGGGAGAATGCAGACTGGTGGAGCCTTGGTGGCAGCTAAGAAAGACCCTGTTCATCCATAAGACATTGAGGGTCTATCCTTCGAGCTATTAGTTCAGGATGGCAGTATACCGTAAACTCCCAAGCCCAAACCCCTAAAACCTGAACCCGAAACCTGAAGCCTAAATCCTCAGCGAACGTATAAACAGACAAACCCTGAACTCTGAAGTGCGAAAGCCTCACTTGCTAACCCCCCGACTCGAAACCCTAACCCTCGACGCTGAACCGTTAGATGCCCCAAGACTCAAAACCCTGGCTTCGTAAAAATCCTCGGGCTTACCCCAAGCCCCCTGAACCTTAAACCCCAAAATCCCAGGCCTTGATCCCTAAACCCTAGCCCACGTTCTACTTAAACTCTAAGCCTTGGGCCTCCTCATGTGGTAATAGTTGGGTAACTATTTGTTGAGGGGCTAGGGTTAAGGGGTTTTATGGGTACGTAAAGCCCGTATGAGGAATACAACTTTAAACTTGTGAATTGCCCACAGGCCCCATAGTAGTTCCTGTTTGGGATTACCTTATAGAGTTTTAAATATGAAGCCCAAAAAGGAACTACTATGGAGCCCATGGGTAATACTATTCCAAGCATGAACTACTTTCCAAAACCCCAAGAGTCGGCTCGCTTCGAGGAAGCTTCACGTCTCCTGGGACCCCCGTGGTGCAGGTTTGGGGTTTAGGGTTGAGGGTTTAAAAATTGGGGCTTAGGGTTTGGGGTTTAGGGTTTAGGGCTTAGTTCTTAGGGTTTTGTGACTGAGGATTTAGGGTTTAGGGTTTTGTGTTGAGGGTTTAGGGTTTGGAAGGACTTTGGGGATTGCCGTACTCTAGAGGCCTGAGTATTTACCTATCGTACTATTCTGGTGGTTTCTTATTATATACATAGTATAAGGTGCCCCAAAACCCTATTCTAATTATTAACGCCCCTTTAGCTATTAGTTGCTGGTTTTTTTAAAGGGATCGGTAAGGGTTCCTTGCAAGGAACCTAGGAGCGTTTGAGAGGTTAGTTTGTTGCAGGGTTTTGCAAGGGATTCTGACAATGATTCGCTACCCTAAATTAAGGCTGCGAGGACTTGTTTTGAGGCTTTCGTAAACCCTAAACCCCTAAACCTTGGGGTAATTTGTATGACTTTGTGTCGCTGTGCGGTCTCAGACGGCGCAAATGAATATGAGGATTTCCGGGATTGCTAGAAGGGAGTTGGTGAACTGTTTCATTGCTTAGGGCTGCAGTGTTTACGCTTTTTCATGAATGCAGCTGGCACTTCCGCAATTCTTGCCAGAACAGCTGTTGTTGCCATTTGTAGCTGTTGCGGTCTGAGGTTCAGGGCTCCAAGCTTCGGGGGTAAATTACTTTAATTAAGCCCTAGACTTCCCTAAACGCTACACCCGAAACCCAAGCCTTAAACCCCATAAACTCTGGATGCAAAACCGTAAACTCTCTCTCCAACGGACAAAGCGTCAGTCGAAGCAGATGCGTCTTCCTGCACGGGTTCAGTTGATTGTGGAAATCCCGGGGCCTGCGCGTTCGAAGTTGAAGTCTTGATTAAGCAATCCTGACGTCTCCGGGATGAGTTGGTAAGTAGGTGACTTCCGGCTTCCAAACCGAAACTGACTTGTCAAACAACAAACAACGAGCTCAACAACAGAAAGCCTAAACCCTAAACCGAAAGCCTTAGACCCTAGCCCGGCCCTAATCCTAAAAACCCGAAGCCCTAAGCCCACGCTTCCACCTGCAAAAAGCCAAAAGATAACGACCCCCCTCCAAAACATAAGCAGAACACACAATATGGGGGCCTTAAAAGTTAGAATAGGGTTCTGGGGCCCATTGTACTATAAATATAATAAGGGCCCCCCAAAAATTGTACAGTATAGGTAATTTGAAACGCTGCGCGTCGTCCGCCTCGGCCCGGCTGTACGGGCATGCGGCGAGTGGCTACTATCTGCAGCAAGCTCTTGTAGGAAAAAAGTAACAGTTGGAAGCGCACTTATAGAAAAAGTAATGTTCATAGCAACACGAAGCAGGATGATTGTGAGTAGTATTAGTAGTGGTAGTATCAGTACGAATTTGGGTGTCGTCATTCCGAAACACTGGATACCAAGACTCTCGCAAGCGGCGGGATGCCTTAAGTATGGGCCGTTGAGGCTGTGGATTTCGTGGGCGTCTTGGATTAGGGTAGCATCACAGCCTTTTCAACCACGTTACTCCACGAAAGGGCGTCTAAAACAAGCCTGAGACGCACATAAAGATGCTACATTGCAGTCCCGTGTCGTCGAAAACTCCGAAAGCTCGCACCTGTCAGCGAGCGGAGGGAAAGGGGAGTGGGGGGGGCGGGAGGGGGGGGGGGGGGGGGGGGGGGGGGGGGGGGGGGGGGGGGGGGGGGGGGGGGGGGGGGGGGGGGGGGGGGGGGGGGGGGGGGGGGGGGGATTAAGAGGTGGGGAATAGGAGAATCCGAATAGGAACCTCTGACCGCTTCGGCCGGGGCCGAGGCGAATTATCTAGGCCCCTATACTAAACCCCAACCCTGAAAGGAACTCTTAGGTAATGATTGAGGCCCCTGCATCAGGCCGCTTGGAGCATCACCTCGGCGAGGCCACCAACTTGGCCTTAGCAAGGCCCTACGCCCTCAGCGGCAGCTGGGATGGGCATCCCGGCTGAAGTTTAGGGCTTAGGGTTTAGGGTTTAGGGTCTACCCGCAGAGACTCCAGCATCCCTGAATTCAGGAATGTTCTTTAAATCATATGAGGGATACCACTTTGATTTATTGAATGTTCTTTAATCAAGGGCTATTGGAGTCTCTGGGTACTAGCAGCCTTAGCAGCACTGAAAGGCTCAAGGGACTTCGTAAGTAAGGTTGTAATTCGGATAACCCCACTTAGGGGACTTGTAACCCTTGAGCCAATAATAATAAGAAGAAGAATCAGAAACCCTAGACCCTAAACCCTAAATAGTATTAACAGCCACAATAGCAGCATGAAGTCTCTAAGTTTGGAGTTTGAGGATTGGTGGAGCACTGCCATTTCCCTAGGGATCTAAGGACTCATATATAAAGGCTTTTGGGCCCAAAGACCATACTATAATAAGGCATTGCGACAAGTCTTCAAGGTTTGAATGGCTAGGATGCCCAGTAGTACCCTTATTCCCTTTTTGTAGTCCTAGGTTCCTTATAAAGTTACCCAACACCAAAGAGGGATCTCTTGTTATTCCTAGCTTACTTGGCGTCCTAAATGGGAGTTTCCGAAAGTTAGGGGTACCTTATTTGGGGTTCTTATAATAAGGATCCTACTATTTAGAGTACTCTAGGGTCCCCTATTTTCGGAAACCCCAAATGGGCTTCCTTGCTCAAGTTTAGCAGTGTCGAGCTTTCGGGTTCGGGAGTCTGGCGCTTTGGGGTTTAGGGTTTAGGGTTTAGGGTTTAGGGTTTGGGGTTTAGGGTTTAGAGATTGGGGTTTAGGGTTTGGGCTTTGGGTTTTGGGTTTAGGGTTTGGGCTTTGGGTTTTGGGTTTAGGGTTTGGGCTTTGGGTTTTGGGATTACGGGTTTAGGGTTTAGGGTTTGGGCTTTGGGTTTTGGATTACGGGTTTAGGGTTTAGGGTTTGGGCTTATTTTGACAACCACCCATATAACTAAACAAGTGACACTATCCTGGAGCCCTAAAGCCCAAAGCTTCAGACCCTAAACCCCAACCATGTTCAGACTGCAGAAACCTATACCCTAAACCCTAAACCACCCGATTTCTGAACTGTACGCCCTCTGGGCCACTTGGATTCAATGTCTCCGCTTCAGGGTTGGAACATGGGAGTTTCCGAAAATTTATGGGTACGTACTTTATTTTGGGGGTCCTCATAAAAGGATCCTACTATGTAGGGTACTATACTAAAGGGAACTCCAGAAAGTTGGAATATGGTTTCAGGGTAGGATACCTTATAATTTACCATAAAGGGTTTAGGATAATCATATTCCAACTTTCTGGCTTTTACTTCAGGGTCCCCTACTAAAAGGACACTTTCAGGGTTGGAGTGTGGGTCCCGGTTAGGGTTTAGGGGCGTGGAGAGGCACATGATTAGAAGGATTCCTATAACGGCCCGTATGGGAGATCGTTTAGCATATTTGTGGTTTGTAGGATTTTGGAGGGCGTTGGGTTGATGGATTGGGCTTTCCCAAAGGGTCCAAAGTACCCTTATAATAGAATGCCGGCTTTCTCTACCAGGAATTACCAGTATGATTCGGGGAAGTATCCCCCATAACAGTACTTTGGACCCTTTGGGTTTGGGGTTCAGAGTTTAACACCCTTTGTTTGGGGTGTTTCCGATTCATGTGGTCAAGCCTGTAGACCTCATAGCCTCATTGTGAGGCTTTAAGGCCACTCTACTAAGCTCCTTACACACCCGATAAAGCCTTCACAACCTCTTATTCTTGTTACTATGAGTTTTGAAGTTCTGTGTTCTTAGCGTCCCTACATTGCGAGGTGGACGTCACACACGGCATTTGTCCACTCCGAAGAGAGACCAGGCCGGATCCACCCATGGACGAATTTTCGGTTTACTAAGGTCTTGGAGTTTACGGTTTCGTAGGATACGTTGATTTAGGGTTCAGGGCCTATCAGGGCCAGGCAGCTCTATCCTGCTTATGGAGGAGGTTAATCTACGCCTCAAGCCCTCGACCCAAGCCCCGTCGGTCTCGTCACAGCTACTTCGACTTTCGAAGCGCTTTAAAGTAGCCAGAAAGCGCCAGACCACAAAACCGTGTACTTAAAGGATCATGGCACATAAGGTAACTATACTTGTAATTACTTATAGCCCCAATTAAGGTACTTATAACCTTACTCCCCTGATCCTCCAAGTAGGGCCTGGAGCCCCAGGCACTTACGTGGCGGCTGTCGAAGTCCCGGCAGATGTCCAGTTGGAGTCATGTGGCGGCACTTGCGTTTACATCTTTCAGGGCCTTTGAACCCGACACCCCAATTCCAGCAGCTTGGACCGGATCTGCAAGATTTTCGGACTAGGCTTTGATAGGATGGCAATGATGGAGGTCACGATGCACTAATGATGACGGTGATGACGATGATGTTGTGGGGATTGCGAGGCATGCGCGATGAATATTTCTGGGGTGGATCTCAATTTTGTGCACGTGCTTTGGGGCTTGGGTTCGCATCTCCATCAGTCCGTTTCATTGCGCCAAACATGCATGAGCACGTGTATTCGTCTATGTATGTATGCATGTGCTTAGATGGCCAGCGAACCTTGCCGTAAGACAAACGCATAAACGAAAGCTGAAGGTGTGCCCACAAGCACCGTTATGCCTACGCTGCAGGTCACTGCAAGCAGGACACTTTCACAGCTGTAAGCGCCTGAACTTCATGTCCCATATAGAGATAAGCAGGTAGACCGATCGCTAGATAAATACACAATACATGAGTAGTTGGGCGTGATGGACGGATGGGGTGACATGGACAGATAGATGGATAGATAGCTAAACCCATGGATAGGTAGCTAGATAGATGGATAGATAGATAGATAGAGAGACAATCAGAGAGATAGATATAGATAGTTTGACAGAGAGATGGAGCAAAAGATACAGAACAAAAAATAGATAGATAGACAGGCATACGGAAAGACAGAACGAACTAACAAAAGACACAAAGACGCATTGGCCGATAGGTAGATAGATAGATAGATAGATAGAACGGACAGATACATACAGATGGACAGATAATTAGGTAGCCAGCTATAACGACGGGCAGACAGACAGGACAGACGGGAGCAGATAGATCGAGAGATAGACTGGCTAGCAGGACAGACCAAAGCAGATACATCAATAGATGCGTAGATTCCTTAGATATGGATAGATGGATTGGTTGATCGATCGAATGGTTGGTGTTAACTGATTTTGGTTTGGTTAATTTGGTTGAACGGTCGATGTGCTGGTTTGTTGCTTGGGTGGCTAGTTGGTTGATGGATTTGAGCGGATTTTTGAATGAAACAAACGAGTGAATGCATGGGGTAATAACGAATGAACGGTTGATTGGCGGATTGATCGATTGATTGATTGACTGACTGAACGAATGAGTGATTGGCTGATTGATTGGATGATTGGCAGAGAGATGTGCATCCGTATGCAAAGTGTATGCATGCGCAAACTTTCCGAAGTTTAGAATGCACCACTGACACTTTATACGATTCGACGATTCTGCCTGGTTCCCATCGTGATAAGGTCAAGAAAACGTCAACCTCAGCTAATGTGCTATGCTTGGGAAAGGGTTTGGGCTTTTCAGCTGTACTCCGTGCCCTTAGCTCATGCACTGTGGGCAGTTGTGGACCACCAACACCCAGGTTTCAAATCGTCTGCGAGGGTGAGTTTGAGGCCATCGCAGTTGCTGTCCCCGGAAGGTTTGGTGGTTTAGGGGAAGCTAAGCCGTGCGGAGCATCAACCCCAAACCCTAGATGACGACACGATATCTAGCACCTTTGTCCGCCAGCTGAGAGCTTGCCCCGGGCTTTTAAGTTTCGGATAAGACGGTTTCAGGAGAGGCTGTCCTGCACAGGAAAGAGTTGGCCTGGGAGCCGGGATCTAGATGTTTCGTGCCCACAGGTTTGGCCCAAACAGAAAATCATTCTGTCAACAAACTCGACTTAAGAGATTGAGGAGATGTCGCTGCTCGTGCTGCTGTCCGTCCTTGGCCTTGCCCAGAGTTCGACGACAGTCAGGCAGCTCGGTGATGGCGACAAATCCAGCCCCGGAGCCCATGTGGCCATGTCAAAAGATGGCAGCAAACTCGTCTACGGAGTCAACGGCGGTTCGGCTTACACCAGCTCGGACTCCGGCGCCAATTGGGATATGACGACGGGCATGATGTTTTCGTTGGCGGGCTGGCAGGGTGTTGCCATCTCCCCCGACGGCACTAAGATCGCCCTCGCGGCGATGAAAAATGGAATTTTAATGGGAAGTGAAGACTTCGGCGCCAGCTGGCAGGATGCAGACCTTCCGCTAAGCTTCGATTGGGTAGACATCGATGTGACGAACGATAACTGGGTCACTGCTGTCGCGGAGAACGGTGCAATTGCAAGCAGCATTAATGGTGTCATGGGCCCCTTCTTCCTGCACAACTATTCTTCCATGCAGTTGCGATTCAGTACCGTGGTCACGTCTCCAGACTTCACCTACATTGTGGCGCTTGCAGACCGGTGGGGTAATGGGCTTGGAAGCATCTACATCAGTACGGATGGTGGCCAAACCTTCCCTCAGTCCAACAGCTCGGAAGCTGTAAATGCGTCTGAGTTGTGGGACTTTGCCATGTCGGCCGATGCCAGGATCCAGGCCGTCGTTACAAAGTGCCTTTGTCATAGTTGGGTAACTTTTGACATAATTATGGCTACTTAAGCCCAGGAAGGAATAAAACAACAATGAATTCTTAATCCTGTCCCAAAACCATGAACTACCGTAGGTACCATGGCAACTACCTTATTATTTTGATGTAAATGCGCCATCCTGGCTGGTGGGATAGACGCAAGAGCCATCACGGCGGCCAAAATGGCAATATATGGAAGGACCAGAAATAGTCCAGGCGTTTCGGTATCACAAACCCCTCAAGCAGACAGCGAAGGACTTGCAAGGTAAGATGGAACTGGTGTGGAGTGCCATAGCGCGAGCAGCACCCAACCAGCTCAGAGGTCGTCGCAACCAACAGCCTCGCGTTGAAAAAAGCGACTGATGAAATCGATTCACAGTAGCGCGTGGTAGGGCCATCCTCCAGACAGCGCTGGCAACTACCTGAGCACCGACACGGGCGCCACCTGGAAAGAGGTCCCTGGGCAGTACAGTTGCGAGTCTGCAGCGATGTCAGAAGACGGCTCCAAGATCTTCCTCTGTTGCATTGTAACTTGGTCATACGGTTGATGATATAAATCCTGCATTACCTTAAGGACCCTAATTAAACTATGGGAATTATGGTATATTCCTTATTATATGGGTTCCTATGTTGCATTGTATCTTGGTCATACTGTTGATGATATAAATCCTGCATTACCCATATAATAAGCAAAAAACATAATTCCCATAGTTTAGGGTCCTTAAGGTAATGCGGGATTTTTTATCATCAGCCGTAGTTGGGGAACAGTTTTACATTTTAATAGGTACTTAAGCCCAATCAGCAATAAACAAATTGAAGCTTTTGATCCTATCCCAACCATGACTAGGTATGTTGCCGGCCCAACCCGGGTTCGGGCGTCGTCGCACTTCTCAGTGGCGATGGTGGGATGACTTGGGGGACCGACTACTGGCTGGGTGGTATCCAGGACTTGTGGGACTGTCAATCCGCAGCCCTGAGTGGGGACGGATCGATGGCGGCGTTTTCCGGTTGGGGTCAAAATCCATATGTGGTTACTTTTACACCCACGTATCCAACCACCACCACCACCGGTACCACCGCCACCAGCACCGTCACCACCGTTACCGCTACAACCGTGACGACAACCACCGTGACGACAACCACAGTCACGGCCACCGACACCTCCACGGCCACAGCCGCCAGCGACGCGACCGGCAATACAACGACCACAATGGCACCGGTCCCCAGCGTCCTTGAAGTTTCTTTTCAATTGACTGTGGACGACCCCACCACGATTACCGAGAACGATACGTTGAAGGATGCCATGGTTCAGGGGGTTGCTTCCTCCCTGGGGGTGGATCCGTCGCTGGTGACCCTGGAATTTCAGGAGGTGCCATCTCGGCGTCTTGCAAGGAGTGTTCAGGCCACCACGCTTCTGGCTATCTTCAAAGTGTCCCTCCCCAGCAAGCAAGCGGCCGAGTCAGCGAAAGCAAGTTACGATCAGCTCTCACTGACCGAGGCCACCGCCGACATCACAAGCTTCTTAGCGGACGCAGGCTATTCGGGCACAGTCGAGGTCACCGGCAAGACTGCGACTGTTGCCACCACCACCACCACCACCACCACCACGTCCGCCACCACGGCCACAACCGCCAGACCGGATGCTGCCAATGTCGCGACGTCGCAGGTGGTGAGTGCGGCCCTGGCCTTCTTGGCAGCCAGCCTCTCTTCAATATTCTGAGCATAAATCTGGGGCCATTCCTTGCGCCCGTCCTCATAGGACGTAATACGCGCATGCGAAACACTCATTTAATTCGTGTCTTGGGTTTCAGGCGTGCCGGCCAGGTTTGGGGAAACCCTAGCCTAGACCCGAATCTCAAAACTCAAACCCTTCACAGGCCTTAAATCCTAAACTTAAACCCTAAACCCTATACCCTAAAGCCTTACAGGGTCGACGGCCGAGCGGCAATGTGGAACTCAGGTGCAACGAGAGGGAGGGGCGGCTTGTTAAGGAGGCAGTGCAATGTCTTAGGGCTAAGGCTAAAGAGCCTGCAGGGAGCATCCACACTCCCCAAATCTATGTTGGGATTCTCCTCATTTTCCAGGGCTAGAGCCGTTCCCTTGCCGTTGAATCTAAGCTGTTTTCAGAATCGGAGTTTTCTGTGCCGTGTGGGAGCAGCACCCGAGGGTGCCTTAGAATGGATTCTTTATCTCACCACTAGTATATTAATTCGTTTTTTGTTACTGTTACTATTTTCTCACTTGGTTGGATTGCTTCCACAGTGGACAAGGCCTCCGAGGGTCCTCGATGGGCCTCTACGTAAGATGTTTCCAGGATCGGGGTTTCCCGCGCCGTGTGGGAGCAGCACCCGAGGTTATCTTATCTTATCATGGCTTCTTTTTCATAATGAGTAATACTACTCTCGTATCCTTGTAATTCTTGTCCCACATTCAATCTGGGATTGCTTCCGCAGTGGACAAGGCCTCCGAGAAAGGGGGGCCGAAGTGCCTCTACGACATCTTCGATGTTCCCTTGCCGTTGAATCTAAACTGGTTTCAGAATCGGAATGTTGCCGTGCCGCGTGGGAGCAGCACCCAAGGGTGCCTCATAATGATTTATGATGATAGTGGCTTCTTTAGCTCATCACTAGTACATTACATGTTGTTACTGTTACTGTTTTCTCACTTGGTTGGATAGCTTCCACAGTGGACAAGGCCTCCGAGGGAGGGGGGAACGATGGGCCTCTACGTAAGATGTTTCCAAGATCGGAGTTTTCCGCGCCGTGTGGGAGCAGCACCCGAGGTTTTCTCATCATGGCTTCTTCACCTCATAATGAGTATATTACTCTTGTATCGATTATAATTCTTGTCCCACATTCAATCTGGGAATGCTTCCGCAGCGGACAAGGCCTCCGAGAAAGGGGGGCCGAAGTGCCTCTACGACATCTTCGATGCTTGGCCAGTGCATCCGAAAGAAAACACTGCTGAGAGCTTCTTTGGTAAGCGGACTTGTTTGGACATGAGACCACCGTGCATTGCATGCAGACGGACCACGCGATGCATGAGGATTGATTGATCATGTCATAATATGGGGGCCTGAGGATTTTGAATAAGATTTTGGGGCCCATTATACTTAATTACACTTAGAAGTCCCCAAAGTAGTATAGGTAATGATTCAGGCCCCTATATTATACTACCCGTGTAGATCCCCTTAGAGTAAACCTTTTCAGACCCCTTTAAAGGATCCCAAGGCCTCCTTCGTTACGTTATTGCTGAGATTCACAGAACCAGAAAGCAGGTGCTACTTGGAGGGGCAGGGGACTGAGTAAGTAGGTTATAAGTATCCATTTAGGGTACTTGTAACTTTATTTGTAACCTACTTACGAAGTTCCCTGCCCCTCCGAGTAGACCCTAAACCCTAAACCCCATAGATCCCTTTAAGGAAGCCTATAGATCCCTTTGAAGACCCCTTTAAGAGCCCTTACTAAGTCCCCCTGCACCTCCAAGTAAGTTTGACTGCCGACCAGGATCCCCCCCAAGCGCCTTTTAATAGAGCCCTTACGGTCCTTCATGGTGGGTATTTAGGGTATATTGGAGGGTAGTTTGGTGGTCTAGGGAAACCTGAACCCCAAATCCCAAAAGCAGCAAAGCCACCTGAACCCTAAACCTTAAATCCTACTCCTACACCCCAAGCCCCTAAACCCGAGGGGTCCATGCACAAATATAGTATATACTTTGGGGGCCCAATGTACCTATATTGGGGGTACTTTTAAGGTCAAAGTATATGCTAGTTGGGTACATGGACCCTTGCTGTAAAAGCCATAAAGCCACCTGATAAACCCTCAGCTTTTAAATCCCCAACCCTTACACCCCTAAACCCTTAACCCTACTCTACTAAACCCCTGAACCGCTAAACGCCTGAACCTTAAACCTTAAAGCCCCCTAAACCCTGTTTTTTTGGGGGGAGGTAGGAGCGGATCGCATTAAATATAGTTTACTGTAGTGCGCCCCAAAACCGTGCTCTAATTATTAAGGCCCCTGCAGTAAAAGCCCTGTCAAACCCTGTTTTTTGGTGGGTAGGTAACCCCCAAACCCCTGAACCCCTACTTGGAGGGGCAGGGGACTTAGTAAGTAGGTTGTAAGTAGAGTTATAATTGCCCTAAATGGAGTTGCCCCAATTGTAACCCTACTTATAACCTACTTACTAAGTCCCCTGCCCCTCCAAGTAAACCCCTTCAAGCCCCCCAAACCCTGTTTTCTGGGGGGGGGGGGGGGTAGGAGCGGATCTTCCCCTCGGAGTGCGGCCGGGAGATCTTGGGCCCCCGTGGAGATTCATTCGGCGCCTTTTCAGAAACACAGCCCGGAACAGGGTTTAGGGTTTAGGGCCGGAACAGGAATTGAAGGTTTGTAAGATTGTATAAGGTTAGGGTTTTAGGGTTTAGGGTGTAGAAACACTCCCGGAAAAGGGACTTCCATCAGGGTCGATGTACGCAAGCAGGGTTCCTTATTGGGTTCCTTCAAGGGCTGCTTTAAGGGGTTCTATAAGGGTTTCCGGTAGAAGGGTCCATGTCTCCAGAAAGTATAGACATTGGCCGCAATGGACTACTCTAAGGCCGAAGAAGTATATACTACTTGAGTACATGGACACTTCCGAATTCTAGGTTTGCAAGGTCTGGGTTTCGGGGTTTAGTGTTTCAGGCTTTCGGTTTTTGGGTTTGGGGGTTTAGGGTTTTGGGTGTAGGGGCTCCTTTGCAGGAACACAGGCTTCCTTCAGTATTTACGAGTTCATTAAAGGGCTCCTTGAGGGTACTACAGTAGAATCCCAAAAGTTGGAAACCTAATAGCCTCAGTCCTTAAGAGCAATGTATATCGAATCCCAGCACTATTTGGCCTTCATCCCGTTTCCAACTTTATGGGGTTTACTATACGGGGGTTTGGGGTTTAGAGGTTCGGTTCTTTTGCCAGATCCGGCGGATTTCCGGCAGGTCCTTCGAAGGGCTCTATAGTTTACAAGGACACTAGAGTTACAAGACCGCTCAGGGGTTGTACTCGAGGCTTGGGATTTTAGATGTTATGTGGGGTTTGCGTTTACCGGAATTTGGTGGTTTTGGAGACAGGTTTTTAGGTTGCACGTGTATAGGGTGAAGGGCTTGTTGTTTCGGGGCTTTGGGTTTAGCTTGTGTTTGGGGCTTGATCCCAATACCCTTATAAGAGCCCGCAGACATTGAGTATTCTGGAAAACAAAAAAGATGCATAAGCACAAGAGAACAGAACACCGGAACAAAAAAAAGCACAACAAGTGATTGTGGGAGGGAACTTGCTTGTAACTGTGTGCTTGGTGTTTGTTTTCCTGGTTGGTTTTGGTTGATTGATTTGTGTTGGTGTTTGTTTTCGTGTTTTTGCTGTGCTATTTGTGGGAATACAAAACACATGAGATGCAACCCAAAACGAACCCAAGGAGCTGTCGCTTTGTTTGTTTTGATTTGTGCATGTTGTATGTGTGTATATTTCTCTCTGATCGCTCCTGGCCTGATTTACGTGTTCATGTTTTTTGCGTGTATGTGTGTGGTTTGTGGTTGTATGTCTTTTTATGATAAGTCCCGGTAATTGGCAGTGCCCTTTGTGCAGGGTAGCCCTTGAGGTTGTGGCTGGACTGGCCCGTTGCAAGATTGTGCTGCTCAGAAGTCCAGGAAGCTGGCGCAAGAAGTGAAAGTTTCCACCGCACGGCGGTTTAGGGTTTAGGGTTCCTAAACCCTAAACCCTAAAACCTATAAACCCTAAACCGCGGAAGAGAAATCAGAATTGAAAGACCTGACCAGGTTTCCAGCCTGCAAGAGCGTGTCACGACCAACCGAGGCTTGGGGATGCTGTCCAGCACTGCTTCGGCAATAGCATCACTGCCCAACTCGTCTCGGACTGGATGCGGAAGAGATGGGCGTTGATGCTATTGCCGAAGCAGTGCTGTCCCCAAGCACTACCCTCGCTACCAGAACTTGATATGCATTCATAGATGATGAGATCGTCCAGGCGGGCACCGTACTTGCTGGATTGCACTGTGGGATCTCCCAGGAAGCCTTTGTCGATCCCGCATGCTGCGGAGTGGCTCCTCCTGCATCGACCGAGCTTTGACCAGGCAGTCGCAATGTCCATGATGCGTCTTCGTAAGACCCAAAACCCTAAGATCCCTCAAGCTCAAACCCTACATTAAGCCTGAGCCTTTTTGTGTAATCGTGCAGAAGCCCTATAGCAACCCTTTAAGGGCGTGGACGGTTTTTGTCGGCCCCTTCTCGTGATTTCAGGCTTCGGCTCTTGGATAAGATTTGGAGCGGGATTCATCCCAGAACCTCCAAAACCCCTTAGTTAAGGAATATACCTCATAATAGGATCCCTAATAAGATTTAAGGTATATTCCTTAATTAAGGGGTTTTGGAGGCTCTGATTCAGTGCCCTTCCAGGACCAATGAACCCTGGAAGGGCTTCAGGGTCAAATCCGATATATGGGGATTCATAGCCCTAAGCGTCCATGTGTATATACCCAAATAGATCTACTTAGGCCATGAAGTAATCCCTATGCAGGTACTTTGCGGCCAAAGTATCTCACCAAGTACAGGGACCTTTTGGGTAGAATAAGCCTCAAATTCTTACACTTTAAGGGTGTAGGGCCCCTGCTTTTAAGGGTCACCTGGTCCCGACACCCTAAACCCTAAAGTGCCCTAAATGAGGTCGGAACTGGCAGTTGGA